TCAATGGATTCAGCTTCATGTTTAACATCTTTTTCCTGTATATTATCCTCTTTTTCAAGTTCTACAACAGCAGGACTCTCCGTACTATCTAAACTAGCTTCTTTTGTAGTCTTTTCATCGGTCAACTTGGCAGTGCCTGTCTGATTAGCTTTGGTGCTGTCGCATTTAACTGATTCTATCGCTAGCTCGTTCTTTTCCTCATTCTTTACAGCGACGTTTTCGACGTCTGATGTTCTTGCGACGGTGGTAATCGTCAACGAACCGATAGATTTTTCTTCGGGTTTATTAGCTTCCGCTTTGACAATAGTCAATTCCACTTGGCTTTTCTCAGAATCCACGTTCTCAGATTTCTTATCGGAAGTACTTTGGTCTTTGTCCTTTTTCGCCCCAACTTTTTCAATCTTCAAAGTTCCCTCGCCTTTCTCCAATTTCACGAGTATCTCGTCCTTGTCAAACTTCAAAATATCTTCTCTACTCTCGATCTTTATCGCTTTCTCAGACTTGTCTATTACTTTAGGAGTCTGTGTGCTTGCATACATTCCTCTCGTAGCAAGAAGCTTGTGAAACGAAAAGTCCGGATCATTTAGTATAGTTATATCGGTGCGTCCAAGACCATGTTTTGCCGCGCCAAGTAACAATTCCTTGTCATGTTTCCCTGGCAGCCACCACTCCGGCGTGTCTCCCGACGGTTGGCACAACGAGAGTCGTTCTTCGAGATGCGGATGCGACAGAATTTCCTCGCGGATTTTGCTCAGAAGATCGACGCGATCGAGTATTTGTCTCGCTTTAGCAGGACTCAGATGATCCACTGGAACATCTGTAAAATCTGCAACGTCAACTAAGTAAAATACTTCACGTAGAACAAAAAAAATATATTCAGTTATATAAATATCAATTATATAATTAGTGTTGTCTAAATAAAAGTTCTATAATAAAATTGAATATATTAACTCTCTCTCTTCAAAAATATTAGAAAGGACGCACCTTCTTCTTCATTCAATTTTGCGTTGCAAACTTTCTTGCACATTGCTCTAAACGACATATAGTAGTCTGTGAGATCGTTGTCCGTTTTCTTATCGAATCGAGCGATACTTTTAAATTTGGTCCAGTCGTACTGGGCCTTTTTCCTGTCATAATTAACGCCATAAGTAGACACCACCCGTAGAAACTCGCTTTCTTCGCGACGGGTCCACTTCGCCTTTTGCTCCTCGATACGAGTACGTTCTCGTTCTTTCACTATGGCCTCCATTTTTTCTCTTTTCTCCATTTTCTATAAATGCGACGTCAGGTTCAAATAATGTGATGGATTTTTTAAAATGTATAATAAAGTAATAATAATGTTATAATATATACTAACCAAAAGATACATTGCTAATTGCTGCAAATCCCATCCTTGCATATTCAAAGGTGGTTCATGCATCATACCGGTATGATTTATAGGAGTGGTCTCACTATCCATTCCCATCTTTCCAGGTTTCGGAATAACTTTAACATCCTCTTTCTTACTAACGCTTCGCTGATAGGAAGATATCACACGACGCAGTCGTGTATTAAGATCTACCATAGACGGCCAAGATGGCTTTTCGTCATCTGTGATAAGACCGTCGTTTCCATCGTGGCTGCCGCTAGCCTCCGGTATTGGCGTGTCCGCCTTACTCGAGATGGCAGGGGAATCCGCTGGTGTTTCTCGACTAAACTTGTCAGAGTCTTTCGAATCTTTTGTCATTCCAGGAGATTCACCATCCTCCATATCGTTCTCCAGACTGTTATCGTCTCTACTGCTACTGCTGAAATTTTGGAAAGTAACAGAATGAAGATAATATCAACAAACGTTTTTTTCTTTCAATAAAACAAACAAGATACTCGTTCGTCGCGCATATATGTGTGTAATAAACTTTGAAATTATTTTATTCACGCTATTCCTGTCCAAGTTTTATTCCGTAGAATGAAGAGAACTAGAAAAAAAGAGAATGGTATCTATTGATTTAATTTATCGTTTCCTCTCTTGATGTTTCGTAACGTCAACTATAAATAGAAAGACAGCGAAGTTAGATGATCTATTTTAATGCGCGCAGCTTTGTCATATGTGTGATAAAATATCTTTGACAGAGAAGAGTCTAAAAGCAATGAACGACGCCATATTCTCAAAATATAGATACAAACAAATTCTGTTTCTTCCGAATTTTTGCTGTTTGTGTACAGTAGTTACTGATTGATAATATTTCGCGAATAAGATTCAAAAGTCGTTAGAGAGCGAGGCTAAAGTGAACATTATATACGCCATTCTATTGCTGAAAATAAAAGCTATGACCGTACAAGCGTATATATATATATATGTATATGTATATATATATAGAAAGCGGTGCAAGCGGCATAAGTGTTAGGACAGTTAGGCAGGGCATAAAGAAGATAAAAGAAAGAGAGAGATGAACAAATAACGAATAAAGAAAAAAAATGACTAAGGTACTCACTCGGTGGTACTCTTGTTCTGAGAGTTCTGGAAAGGGGGAGGACAGCTTGTAATGAAAGAAAGCGCGGGGTCAGTCCTCATCTGGTCGTAATTCTCATAGCCGTGTTTGTAGCAGCCGACTATTAAGGATTTATCTGCTGTCGAGTCCCACCATTTCGCCGGTCGGTCCGTCAACTGTGGAAGGTCTAGCGGCAACGCACTGCAGGGCGGTTTCGTTTTACAAAGTTTGCCAATTTGCTTACGTGCCGATACCAGCGTATTCATTATTAATTTATAAAGGGAAATTTTAATTAACAAATTTACAAAGGGGGATTTCACAAGGGAGATTTCCCCTCGCAATGACACGGGCTTTTTTTCTGTACAAAATTTCAGAAATATAATACGACACATAAATATCCGGACGACCCCCCCCCCAGTCCCTCTTAAAGATTTTAAAATCACACGTTTCCGATTATCTCCCTTCGATTACAGTGCACTGCTTAGCAACAAATCTTATGGCTTACCACTCTGTTGCGGAAATTCGATCATCCTCGCGACAGTTTTACCAAGTGTGCAAGAGCGTCTCTCTCTCTCGTAGCGATTCGCGAGCGCACGTGTATAATTATGTTAACGTATTGATACGTGCATACAGGATGGGGAAATAAAAACGTCTTCATATTAGTAGCGTAGGGTAAAAAACGAATTGGTAGTCGTTCTGCAGAGCTACATGGACCAACGTGATCCGGGCTCTATGAGCATTCCTCATACAGGTATAGCTCCCAGGATATCAACAAATACATCGCACATGCAACTATGCTAAGCTCCGTGGTAAGCACATATGTGAGTATACACGAATCTGTGATAGATGGTAGTCTATGGTACGAAAAAGCGTAAGAGGAGAAGAATGATGTGAACTCACCTGACATGAACACCGTCATTAATATGTTGAACTAAGTCGCCAATAATCTCGTGTTTGATATAATACAGCATTCGTACGCGCAACAATACCCTGTAAGATAAAGGACAATAAATCAAAATTTTCGAATAATATAAGAATATATATATATATAAGAAATTAAATATTTAGATAAGTGTTACTGCATCCAATAACTTTAATTTAAAATACGATAAACGTTTGAGATTTAAAATAATCAATTAAAATAAAAGTGCAAAAGAAAAACAAATATTATAATATTTGTAAACATTCATAATATTGTAATTTAGAAGAAAATTTTAAGACGCTTTAAGCTTCCTACATTCAAACTCCTCACAATTGAATTAATTTTAGGCATATTTACTTATTAGCATGTCGACTGAGATGCTTTCTGTAGTTGCTCTCGAGAAAGATGTCTCCATCGAATTTTTCCGCGTTACTCCAATGATTGGGATCACTCGGTCCGCCATTGATGACCGATCCTCGGGTCTCTCTGCCCTCCCGGACACGGCTCTTCTTCTTCTGCCGACTGTTCCTGCTACTAGTGTTCATCGGTATATTCTTCATCTTCTCACCATTCTCAATGGGCGTGATAAGATCCCAGATAAAGCTCCGGATCTTTTCGTCACCGCGATAATAACGCAGGCAGTAGAGCAGAATGACGCGAGCGCAATCCTCAACGTCGACCTCGCGCCAACCGCGACGGAACTGGCTATGCTGTAGAATTTCTTCCCAGCGGCCCCAGCCAAACGTCAGCAGTCCACGCTCGACCTTGAAACATTCGCTCCGCGCCCAACTGCCATATACTACCTCGCCTTCGCGCGGCACGTACTCGTCGTAGAACTTCCGCGTCTTTTTGCCAAACTTGTCGCGCCGTTTCTTGCTTCTACCAGACAGGCCGATACTCGTATCGTCATCGCTGTTCTCGTCCGAGCTGTCCAGTTCGGACATGTCAACCACAGACTCGTCATGACCATAACGTTTAATTTGCGTCCTTCGCCGAGGCTCGGATATCACCAGCTCATCCTCCTCCTTCTTCTCTGTGGTATCAATCTCCGCTTTCTTCGCCCATTTCTTCCAAAAGTCAGGATCATCTATATTAATGTCTGACCGGTTTGACGAACATGCGAAACTCGCTTTCGAGAACGTCGAGCCTTTTTCTGCTTCTATAGTAATAATCTGAGTTCTTCGCTCAAGAATCTGCTCAATATCTTCCTCGCAGAACTTGTCGCCAGCATTATCATCATCCATAATAGCACCGTAAGCGCCTTTTTTCAACAGATCTTCAATTTCCTTCTTTGTCAATTGTTTATTGCTGGGGTCTTTGCCACCTTGGCTAGTATTCATGGATTGTAAGATCGCTTTATCAAGTCCCAATTTTAGAGATGCTTTGTCAAACATTTCACGCTCATATGTGTTGCGGCAGAGTAAACGATACACCTTGACCATTTTTTGCTGCCCAATTCGATGACACCGAGCTTGCGCCTGCAAATCATTTTGTGGATTCCAGTCGCTATCATAGATAATGACAGTGTCAGCCGCGGTTAGATTAATGCCGAGCCCACCTGCTTTCGTACAGAGCAAGAAGACGAATCGATCCGAGTCTGGTTTGCTGTAACGATCAATGGCAGCTTGTCGCAGATTTCCACGAATTCTACCGTCGATTCTTTCGTACGGATATTTTTTATATAGCAAATAGTCTTCGAGCAGATCCAGACACTTCACCATTTGACTAAATACCAAAACTCGATGACCACTGGCTTTCAGTTTCGGCAGTAGCTTATCGATCAGGACCATCTTTCCGGAGCTGTTCACTAGAGCGTGATAATATGCCTCGGAATCTTCTTTCTCGCCGGTCTTGTAATCTAGTTGTATCTGATCTTCGGCACCATTCAGCAGGAATGGATGGATACAACATTTCCTCAATTCCATCATTGTATTCATAAGATTCGGAATATTGGCCGAAGTGGTGCCCTTAGCGAGAAACGAGAAATTTCTTTCAAGAATTCCGCGGTAATACTTCTTTTGTATATTAGTCAATTCCACCTCAACGACAGTTTCCTCCTTCGGTGCTAATGATTTCTCAACGTCTTCCTTTAGGCGACGTAACATCATCGGTTTTAAGAGAAGTTGCAACTTCTGCACTTCACCTTCGCTACTTAAATTACCAAATTCCTTTAGGAATGCTTCGTTACTTGCAAACTGTTGCGGTTCAAGGAAATTTAACAAGGAAAACAGTTCATTAACGTTATTTTGCAACGGTGTTCCTGACAAGAGTACCCTGTGCTCCAAATTCAATTGTCTGAGGCCTTCAAGCAGCTTACAATTTCGGTTCTTTAATCGGTGAGCTTCGTCTATAACGCAAAGTCTCCAATTGTATCCACGTAGTTCATTAAAGTCCGTTATAATGATTTCAAACGTTGTTATCAACACGTTGAATTTTACTAAATCTTTGATTTGCTGTCCCTTCTCATTCTTGTAATAAACTTCATATTCTTGTAGCATAGTACGACTCGCCGCACTGTAATTTAAATTTACAGTGACAATTCAGTTTGTTTTTGTATGTAGATAAAATTGCGCGTGTTAATATACTTACGATCCATGGTATACCACGACGTTCATATCGGTCCAGCTTTCAAATTCTCGCTGCCAATTTGGGATGGTCGACAACGGAGCTATAATCAAGAATGGTCCGCGAATTCCGTACTTGTAGACCGCGTCCACGAATGTCAGAGACTGAATCGTCTTTCCCAAGCCCATCTCATCAGCGAGAATGCAATTGTGTCCATTGTACCATGAAAATAGCAGCCAATTCAACCCTTCCAATTGATATGGTCTTAAAATGTTATTGCTCTTATAAACTGGCGATTCTTCCAGTTTCACCCAAGCTGTAGCATTGGGCTTTTTCTTCGGCTGGAATAACAAGATTTTATAAATGAATGTACATAATAGATAAGTAATAAATTTGCATATTTAATCTTAAATTTTGTAAAATATATATATATATTTTTTTAAATATATTTACCTTCCATTGCTCCTTTGGTGGCACTTTATTGAATTTCACAAACTGGGCTATTTTTTCAGGATCAACATCTTCTTCTAATTCCCAGGTAGAGTCTTCATACTGCAAAGATCGCCATTTAACTAAGAAATGTCGGACTGTTTCTCCAGTAGTTGGATCTGTGTGAGTTGCTTCATCTAAAACTCGATCAACTTCGACAAAATCTGGATTAAAGGGATCATCTTCGGTCTAAAGAAAACAAAAAAAAGATTTTTATAAAATGGACTTTAAATAATTTTTTATGTTAATTTTTAATATGTAATCATTATCAATACATTATATTCAGAAGTTAAATAATAAACGTTAAATACATTTTCAAAAATGTTGGTGTTTTGTTGTTGCTTCTGCTTGAATCTTTTCAATTTAGCTTGGATACGCTTATCGCCTTTGTACATTTCCTCTTCCGTTCTCCATTCGCAATGCAAATACGAAAAATTCCGATATTTAACGAAATATTCTTCTACTTCGACGAACTGTGGCTTCGTCTCGACAACAGCGGTAGTATCAACTGTTTTCGAATCCGCGGAAGGTTCTTCCAATTTCTTTGCATCTTCCTTTTTTGCACTATCGGTTTCACTTTTTTCCTCGTCTTTGGCCTCGGTCTTCGCTTCTTTCTCGGTATTTTCCGTATCTTCTTTTTTCACAGAATCATCAGATGCGTCTTTGTTGTCAGATTCTTCTTTATCAGCGTTTTCATTCTTTTCTTGAGGCGGTTCTACTTTGGGTACTACGGGCTTAACTTCTCTCTTTCCCATTCGAGAGCATAAAATATGTTGCACAACCATAGAGTCTTCATCTGTAGTGTTCTATAAAACAGAGCAATTCAATTAAAATTACGGAGATTGTTATAACAATTTTAAAAGAAGCAATTAACATATTTCAAAAGATACGTACAATGTATACAAAGTTGGGCTTATTAGGTCCGACTTCACCACCCTCGCCACCCTCCTTTTTGGTGGCAGCAGGCTTTGAAGTACTTGCACCTTCCACTTTTTTCGACGTTTGAGCTTCTTGCATAGGAACATCATCGTCAGAGAATCGCAACATTACATCATCTACATACTTCTTGCGATGAGTGTTTCTCGCGGATCGCCGCTTATTCATATCATCGCCAGCTTCCGGTGATGGCGGAGGCGTTGCCGCTAGTTCCTCGCCATCAGAATCAGGGGCAATGCGACTCTTGCGTTTTCTTTGAAAAATAACAATAAAATTTTATGGTCATGTATGCTATTTATTATCAGAATTATTGATCAATAAAATAATGTTATTACTTACTTAGAACTTCTAGAACTTTTCCCCCCAGACGACTTGCCAGTATTAGATCGTTTCCTAGCTGCAGATTTCTTTTTACCAGTCGTATTTTCAGCAGTCGCAGTAGTCGCTTCCGAGTTTTCCTCTTTTTTATCCTCTTCTGTAGCATCTTCTGTCCCAGTTTTCTCTTTACCTTCTTCCTTTACTTCAGATAACATAGGTTCATTGGTGGAAGAATCCACTTGCTCCTGATCACCTTGTATAGACGATTCACAGACTTTTGTCTCGGCGTCCTTAACAGCACTAGAATCCGAAACGGTAGTTTCTTCGTTTTCGCGTACAACTTCATCATCAGCAGACTCCGATTGATTAGTTTTTCTATAAGAGTATTAGTAAATATAACGCTAGTTTTTAGTTGATACACGATTGATATATGTCCTTTTCTAGATATCATACTTACTTCCTATTACGTTTTGTGGAATCTTTGTCTTTATCCTTATTTCTTTTCCTCGCCACTTTCGGTGATTTTGGTTCCTTGGGTGGTTTTGGTTCCTTTTTAGGTTTCGGCTCTTTGGGCTCTTTAGGTTCCTTCGGCTTGCGTGGTTTTCGAGGCGATCGGGACTTTCTGCCTTTATTCCATTCCTCCTCCATATCCCCAGAAGACGGCTTAATGTCTTCCGAATCCGCGGCACTGTCTACTACATTGCTGCTATCACCTGGAGTGACCTTATTGTCCGACAAAGGTTGTTCGGGTTGTTGAGTGGCAGTGGTAGGTGCAGATGCCTCTTTATCGGCTTTTTTACGACTTTTCTTTGCTCGTGGCGTACCTTTGCTACGACCACGTCCAGTAGTACTGGAAACCTATTTCCAGTAATATTTAATAGTTAAATAATTTGTATTCAAATATAAGATACAACAATATATTATAAATACAAGTATAAAAATTACAAAGAATAAAAATAACATTTAAATCTCCGTTTGTCTTTAATTCTCCTATGTAACCTCTCAAATATTAATTATCTACAAGTATTCTTTATGTAATTGAATTAGTTTGACACAGTGATATTGACTTTTCAATTGACATTAGAAAAATTATTGTTAATAATCTCAGATATTCTTAAATAAAATATTTTCTTTAAATATAAATTATATTCATATTTTATGACAAAAAAAGAAATTATACTACCTGTGGACTATCAACTACAGCAGCTGTAAACATTGGCGTTTGTAATATACATTGCGGACCACCATTACATTGATCATTCGTTTCGTGCTGCTGTAACGCCTGCAATTTCTCCTGCAAGGCAACAATTTTTTCCTGATTTTCCGGAGCTGGCGGCATGCAGTACAATTCCTGTAACTGCTGTTGCAACGCTGCTCGTTCTTGATGATGGGTTAGCGGCGCACAAGACGTGCCAAAACCGGTAGTTGCGACTGGGGTTTGTGTAGGATTGGGCGGTATACTATACATGTTTGGCATTGTGTTGCCGGTGACCATGTCGCTTCCAGGATGATACTATTATTTAAACAACAAATGATATCAGTGATGAATATAATTCTCATCACAATTGATTTATGTAAAACATATTTCACAAAATATTTCACAGATGAATATTTTATTATTATAGAATGTCACAAAAAATGTTCTAAATAAAATTATTATTCTTTAGTAATATTGATAATACCTGATGTGGTGTTTGGGAATTTGGCACAGGAACCGCAGCTTGATGCGACGGCAATACCATACCGGCGGTCTGACTGACAGCAGGTATTTGTTGTGCGTTTAAATGTCCAGGCGGTACCTGAGCGTTCTGGTTCTGCATCTGAGATGTCGGATTCTGTATCGGCTGCGTTTGCATCTGCGGCGGCATCTGAGATGGTATCAGCGCGGTGCCCTGTGGCATTATGCCAACCTGCTGAGGTTGCATATGGGGTGGTTGAGTTTGTGGCGGTGTCGCTGTTGTCGATTGAGCCTGTTGTGTAACGCAAGTCGGGCTCTGCTGAGCCACCGGCGCTAACTGGGCTTGCGATTGTCCCAGTTGAGGCTGTGGTTGTCCCAATTGAGGTTGTGCTTGTCCCAACTGTGGCTGTGGTTGTCCCAATTGTGACTGAGGCGCTGGAGGAATTTGTTGAGGCTGTACCGGCTGTGTTTGACTCAATATGGGTTGTTGGGGCTGAGGAATTTGTGATTGTTGAGTGGATGCAATTTGCTGCAATTGCTGCTGCTGCTGTTGTTGTGATGGTGGTTGCGGTTGAGGTATTTGCTGCTGTGATTGCAATTGCTGGTTTATTTGAACAGGCTGCGATTGATTCATTTGAGATTGTTGTGGCGATTGTAACTGCGGTTGAGGAGGCGGTATCGTTGCCTGAGACTGTACTACCTGTGGCTGAGCCATATGAAGCTGTTGCACTGGTTGCTGCACCGATTGCTGTACTGGCTGTTGCATCGGCTGCTGTGGAGGGCAATTGATAGGCTGAGTATGTTGCGGTTGCTGCTGTCCCATAACTTGTTGCGTTGTACTGCTCAATGGCGGCTGATGAACTTCTATATTTTGTTCTGGTGGTTTTGTTTCACACACACTCGGATTCTCGATACTAGAAACGGGATTTTGAATCGGTGTAATAACCGGCTGCTGTTGCTGTTGTTGCAATGACGTAGTCACATTTGTGCACTCCATATTGCCACTTGTGCTGGACGCAGGAAGAGACTGCACCGTTTCAATCGGAGATATACTCGCCGGTGTAGGTATATTTCCTACCGTAGATGTATGATCTAAAGATAAATTATTTTGCGAATTATTTTGTGCCGATGTGTCCACTTGCGGTGGGCCGAGTTGCGCGGTTGCATCCGGTTGCTGATTCTGCTGAGCGCTCTGATGCAAAGAAGGCTCGGGTTCTGGTGGTTTCGGGGTTTCAATCGGGTTCTGCACGACGTTCTCCGTCGACGTCGTCGGTTCTCTCGTTGTCGTTGTGCTCGTCGTTGTCGCCGTTTCCACAACGTTATGAACAGTAGTCTCCGGTCCAGCGACGGGGAACATCGGAGTACTCTGTTCGGCTACTATTGGCGCTTGCTGAGGCTGCTCTACTATGCCACCTCTTTCCTCGTTAACGCCGAGATTTGGCCTAATTTGCGATTGTTGCGGCTGTTGTTGTGGATGTGATTGCCATTGAGCAGGCATTGGCATTCTGGGCCCCGTAACTTGGCCTGGCATCGGACTCTGTGCCGTCGGCTGCTGCGGCAGAACAACATTTGGTGTCTGCGACATTGGCGGACGTGTTTGGAACTGATTATACTGATCCGGAGTAGGAACGCTGGAATTCGACACAGCGACTCCCGGCATCACCATCTGTTCGAGAGCCTGCAGAGTCGTCTGCTGTTGCTGCGACGATGGATTCATTTGCATAGATGTGGGCGGACACGAAGGTGACACTGACATTGCGTTAGCCTGATTGCCCTGTTGATGAGGAAGTTGAACGTGAGGATGCGGCGAAAGAGTGGTAGGCTTGGCAGGCGACATGATAGGTCGGGGAGACATTTGTTGCTGCACCGCCGGTGGACGCGGAGACATCTGTGGCCGTGGCGACATTTGTGGTGATAACTGTGGGAACGCGGCGCGATACTGTGGGCTCGTCGAATGCTTAGTCGGTGCTGTACCAAACTGTTGCTGTGGCGGCGGCGGCGCTGAATGTTGGGGTTGATTAAACATCGATGTGGCATGATGGGGATACTGAGGATCCATCGTCGGTTGTTGTTGCGCGTTCGGATGTTGAGGGGTGTGCTGAGGGTATTGTTGAGGATGAGACGGATGTGGTTGATGCGTCGGATGCGTCGGGTGATGATGCGGCATTCGCGCCTGGGGCGGTTGTTGAGCTTGCTGTTGCTGATGAATCGCTGAAGCAAAACCAGGATAACCGGGAGACGTTTGATACATCGCCGCTACCGAATTACCTTGCTGGTAATGTTGCTGCTGCCCAACCATATGCTGATAGACACCGCCGGTCGCGCCAGGTTGCATCGATTGATGCAAAACCCCCATGTTGCCTATCATCCCCTGTTGACTAAAGTGTTGTTGTTGCTGCTGCTGCTGCTGCTGTTGCTGCTGCTGTTGCTGCTGCATCTTTTGATTAATAACGCCAGCTTGATCTTGTTGATGAGAATACTGTGGTGGCATGTGTTGCCTGTACGTGGCAGGCTGTGGAGCCATCTGATTGTAATGCCTCTGCATCTGTGGATAACCACTTCCGTTACCCGGCCAACCTTGTTGGCTAGGGTCCATACTCATGTTGGCTCTAGCCATAGAGTGTTGCTGCTCCATAGAGTACATATTGTCATTGTAACTAGGATACTGACCACCGCTACCCGGATGAGGCCCCCTGTGCTGTTGCGGTGCAATGTTACGAGTCTGATTTTGAAATGCGCCCGGCACCATAGCACGCTGAGGTGTGGCGCTATTATCGAACGTACCGAGATTTTGGTTAAACATGCTGCGCTGCGACGGATTTTGCAATTGATTCGAGCCACCAAATTCAGATCCGCCGAATGAGGTTAATTTTTGTATTGGAGATTCTTGAGAAATGTTATAAGATTGGCTAATGTAACTCCCTCCTCCATTAGGGCCAGAATTCAGACCGTCTCTGGACACCGCTACGGAATTATTCGCAGGCGCAGGATCGAAGTGATCGTTCCCTCCGAGATCAGGAAGAGCCTCGAGCATCGAGCCACTGACATCTTCACCAAACAGATCGTAGTCCATGTCTACGCTGAAGGACTCCTCGTCCCCATTTCAGGCTTAGGAGAATATTGTACGATCTCTTTTATAGCCAGTAACGTGCCCATGGTAAACCCAAGCTCTTGCTGTCTGAAACAATCGAAACAAATTTTACATCATACTCTCGATAATCTTGCAGGTTTCCAAGTTGTTTTTTTTTTTTTATATACGTAATATACACGGTATAAGAATTCTATCGATTCTCTCTCTGCGTTGGAGCGACATACGCCAAAGGGGAAAAGCTATACGCTTATGGTTCAATTCCTCATAATCGCCATAACTTTTCCCCCTCGGAATATATCCCAGCTTGTAACATCTGGCCATATTTTCATATCAAAACCTTAGAATTATATGCACATATATATATGCATATATATCATGATTACGCGTACTAAGAACGGACAGTTACAACAATTCTAAGAGTCGTTCAAGAGCACGAGGAACATTAATCGAGAGAAGGGAAGAAAATAAATATGTGCGTCTACGTAAATAAAAGCGTATAAATAAAAGTTCAGAGGACGCGATATATTACACCGTAATTGGGACATGATAACTGTCATTTTTCGTGAAATATTTCGCAACGTTTCGAAACGTTTCGACATACCGAGACATTCACGGAAAACCGTTTTTTTCCGTTACGGCTTTTGCGTTTCCCGGTGCCATTAGATGCTTGGCTCGATAGAAACGAGTGATAATTTCCATGAAAGTCATGAATGAAATATCGAGGTTTCTCAGAGGGAAGCGCGCAAGCGGAGCAAGGGGGGTGGGGCGAAGAGGGGCATCATTATTAGGATCGCCGCGGACAACAGGAATAAATGAAAAGAGCTGTACGACGCGAGGTGAGACGCGAGAGAAGCGGCACTCCGCACTCCCCGGGAGTGCGCTACCTCTTTTTCCGGCGTGAAGTCGCGCGCACAAACGGCACGACGACGGCGACGCTATCGTGTCGGCGTCGTGTGATTCGCATATTTGTGCAAAATGACCGTAAACTAAACTGAGTCTGTCTAATGGTTTAACAATGAATCACCGGAATCGTCCGGACACGCGACGTGCGCTGTCTAAAACTTTTAGAGTGAATATCATAGATACTGTAGAGTGTAAAATCTCCCCTCTTACGCCGCCGTTTCTACCGATGTAATTTGATTTTTAATCTTGGTTCAACTTGGACTCTTTGTCTTTTTCTAGTTCCAAGAATTCAAAAGAGAAGAGCAAGTTAAACCTGGTAGAGAGACGGGCGATAAAAAAAATTGACCTACTTTTTTTTTTTTTTTTTTTTTCAAGACTTGCTCAATTTTCACTCTTTCGAGTGAAACTGATTCACTTTTAGAGTGAGATTCCACTCTAAAGAATTTAGAGAGTGTACAGCGGAAATTTTCAACGATATAGCGACTGCATTCGGTAGAAAAAGCAGCTTTGCGACTGTTGTAAAATTCTTTAATACGATTGGTCTTGCCTCTTTAGTTCCTTACTGGATCTAAATGTCTAAGATTATGCTGAAGAATTTATAATAGTTGTAAGGCTGCTTTTTCTGATAAACGCAGCCAATGCATGCATAGCGTATGTTTTCGGTGAGTCACATTGTTTTTTTTTTCGTACGACATCGAGTGATATAATGCATTGTGGAGCGATATCTCTTCGATAGAAAGAATTAAAGGAGAAAGACACGAGGTGTCGAGAAACTCGAGAGAGAGAGAGAGAGAGAGAGAGAGAGAGAGAGAGAGAGAGAGAGAGAGAGAGAGAGAGAGAGAGAGAGAGAGAGAGAGAGAGAGAGAGAGAGAGAGAGAGAGGGGGGGGGGGGGGGGGTGCCCAACTTTTACCGAAACTATGACAGACCGCGGGGTCGCCGGCGCGAGTGAACAATACTCGCGGCTTCCTCGCGTGTAACAATATGGCATTGCCGTCTCGTAAAATAAACGTTCCATCAGACTGACGAAAATCGACGCGATATCGCCGATCGATAGGCAACGTCGAATAAAACGAGGAAGAGAACGCCAGGAGGGCGGAGGGGGGGGGCAATAGGAGGAGGAGGAAGAGGGCGAAGGGAGGACGGAGAAGAATAAAACAAGATGAAACAAAAAATTGGAGCAACGTATAAACCTGATGCACACTGACAAATACAGCGCGACAGTGGGGGAGCAGGGGAAAGATTGAGAGAGAGAGAGAGAGAAGAGGAGAACGTTCTCGTGTCTCGGCGGAAAACGAACAAAAATACACTCACTCGATATGTGCGTGAAGTACGAGAGTGAACGAGAGGGAGCGAGCGAGCGAGAGAGCGAATGAGCGGTCGAAACTGCATCGAACGAACGGTGGTAAGGAGAGGAAAAAAAAAAAGGAGAGACTCTACATACTTTCTCTTTCTCTCTCCCTCTTTCACCGCGGCAGTTCACGCTCGGCCGTATCTCATCGTCACGTCTTTACAGCCGTGAAATAGGAAGCCGCCTATGCCGCGGTTCGTATCGCGGGGTTATGGCATACGCTCTGAAATCGGCGTCGCGGCGAGAACGAGTCTCTCTCTCTCTCTCTCTCTCTCTCTCTCTCACACACACACACACACACGTGAGAAGCGTCGTCGACACATCGATGACGACGGCGACGAACGGTGGAAAGAGAGAGGGAGAGAGATAGAAAGAGAAAAGACAGGCCCGATGACTGACTACGGAAAGTACGCCATTATCGCGGAAGAGAGATAGAGAGAGAGAGAGAGAGAGAGAGCGAGAGGAGGATAGAAACGATGCGGGGGAGAGCGAGAGAGATTTCCGTTCGGGGCCACCGCGAGAGAGAATTCGTCGTTATCGCGCGGCCACCGCGACGCTCGATATTCGCCGACGTCGGGCGGCACGGCGCGTCACTTCGCGTCACTCTCTGTCCGAACGAGTATATACTCTTTTTATTAACGGTGGCACTTTCTTGCAGCGGCGGCGGCGGCGGTGGCAGTGGCGGATCATCGAGTGACCGCGAACCAACCAGCAGACGAGAGAGAGAGAGAGAGTAACACCGCGCGTATTATATTCGCTTCGCTCTCGTACCGTATCTCTCGCGTGGCGTATCTCGCGGCTAAAGACGCGCCGCCGCTAGCGGCGTTTCGTCAGAAAACCACCCTCGTCCATCCATTCGTCTCTGTCTGTCTGCCCGTCTGCTGTCCGTCCGTTGTCCGCGCGCGCGCGCGAGCGGCGCGTACACCTACATACAAATATACATACGTACATGCGTACGTCGTGCGTGCGTGCGTTCACGCGATTTTCACTACTGGCGGTGGCTGCTGTGGTGGATCATCGAGGTGCAAGCGTGTCCCGCGGGCTCGAATCATTCCGCACGTACACACACATCCACGTACACCGCACGTTCATATCTCTCTCACTCATTCACGCGAACGTTTCGCTCACTCCGTCCCCACCACTATGCGGCGGACAACTACTGCTCTCCGTCCCGTAACCCGTTGCAGCACGGTGGAAGAGAAAGAGAAGGCGGAGGAGGAGGAGGCCGCCACCATACCACGCTTACACTATACACTATCACTGTTTCCCCGCAAGTAAAACGTTCTCGCTTCCCCGAGTGCGCGTCTCGCCGGTGTGTTACGGACGAGAGAGCGAGCACCTCTAGCGCGCAGGCGAGCACACGAGCGGCGGCAGCGACGACGACGACGACGGCACGGCACCAGGCCGCACACCGCTCGCTCGGCGCACCACCTGGTGGCGTGCGCATCTCCCGACCTCCTCCTCTCTCTCTCTCTCTCTCTCTCCCGTCCTCGCTCGCGCGCGCCGCCTCCCTGTGTGCAGACGTGCATTCGTGTTCGCCGGCTTTCGGCCCGGTGTCGCGTTCCGCGTGTATGTGTCGTACGCGCGCGCCCGCGCACGCCAGCCGAGAGGAGCGTATATACTCGATCTCGTAAATTGTTTTAGGTCTGTTTTACCTGCGTATTCCGCATTCGGAGCGAAATGAATATCTATATCTTTCTCCAGCTACGGTCCAAGAGAGAGAGAGAGGGAACGGGAAATGGGAAGCACGGATCAAAACGGACGGGCCGACCCGACAGGATCCGTTAGCTCCACTCCTCGCTTTACCTGCGCCGCCTCCCCCCCCCCCCTTTTTTTGACACTTCTTTTCACTGCATCGAATTTGAGAATGAATATGGCTCGCAATGTATATATAGCACATTCGAAGGGAGAGGAAACAAAGCTCCCCGAAGGAGCGTAGAAATGAAGCGTAAACGGAAATTTTGTTTCTCGAAGTGGCCTTGTCTATATATCCGAGTCTCTCCTTGAAATGTTCGTCCTCGATTTGTTGTCACTTTGACCGGCAAGGAATGTGACATGTGTGAATTCGATACGGACCTCCTTCTTATCGCGATACTGCACTCTTTTCCACAAACGCGCTAATTGTGTCCGATGATATCGGTAGATAGACGTGAACGTGGGACAAAAACATCTGACTTTTTCTCACGCGTGTAACAGACTTCTATCGGCAACTGTATTGAATGAAAATCATTCACAAGATCCGTTTTCGTTTGTATTTTTCGAAATACGTGAGTATTCGGTTCTTATTCAAGATCGTCTTGAGTAACGTCTCAAGATGCTAATCGGTCCTCTGATTGGCTTATTTGTGTCATCTGAAGACAAGAATCGACTATGAATACTGCGGCCATAGTTGCACCTAAAGATTAGTCTTTACAGAAAGATTACCTGCAGTACGGTTCAGTTCCACCACAATCTAAAATTAACGTTAATCTCTAATTCTGAGAATTGGAAAAAAGTAAGTTAAAGTATCGGAAGAATTTTAAATCGAGATTGAAGTTAATTTTATGTTTGTGCCTACAGTGGCAGATAAAAAGTGTTATATTTTAATAGAAGAAATACAATAAAGTAACACCAACTGTGACGAATCTTTCTCAAAGAACAGCTGCGTACGATTTTAAAAATACACCCTCGTCCTTTAACGGTTATAACAGGAAATACCCGAATGAATGAATCTTCAGATAGTCACACGGC